CCCGAATACGTGGGCGCATCCAGAAGAACATTGTCTCCGGGGTTGACCAACATCTCAAACACCTGCACCAAAACCAGCAAACACACGAGGTTAAGACACAGGCTGTGAATGTTTTCCTTGACATGAAAAACTGCTATAATAAATAAAACTATATTAAAATATAGAGATTCTTACTTTAAAGCTATAGCTTAAGGGTTTCAGTGGGTCTAAGCTGTTCAGCTGATGTCAGATGGACAGGTAAATCTACAGGTGGTGGTGTCAGTACCTTGCAGAGCCCCTCCTGGCTCCCCGTCGTCACACACATCTCCATCTGCCCGCTCTCAGGGCTGTAGCTAGCAGTCGGCGGGTTGTGGAGGTTCTTCTGCAGGTTTTTCATCCATGTCAGCAGCTCAGGTATTCTACGCATTGAGGAGAAATCAGGTGTTTCCAAGACAAATCTATTTTCATAAAATAGTAATCTGTTTTATTTTCACATAAATACTGCACATGTCTGCATGAGCGTCTGTCTTAATCCTCTATTCCAAACTGAAATGCTGTTCTGAAGACTGTCACAAAGCAGTGACCGATTCTGTCGTCTGGATTTCTCACCCATTAGAGGCGGAGTACTGCAGAGCTCTCTTCATCGCCACCTCATCGAAGGTGACTGTCTGCCCGTTCTTCACCGTGATGGACGCTGACTGGAAGGGGAAGGTGTTGGGGTTAGGAGCACCTCCGGCCAAAGAAATCAGCGATGGAGGTGACCGCTGCTGCAGCTCAGCTTCATGTGGGATCACAGAGAGAAGATGATGAGAACTTCATTTCAATAAATTTAAAACCTTCAGCTCAGCCTCCTGTCTTTTATTCACTTCCACCGTCTCACCAAACCATACATCACAGCATCACTCCCATCTTGTAAACCTTCCCTTTTACTCTTGCTGCTATCTTTCTGTCACAAACCACCCCTGATATTCGTCTCCACCCGCTCCAACCTGCCTGCACTCTCCTCTTTACTTCTCGTGTGCTGTCTGTTGCTTTGCATGGATGACTCCAGGTGTTTAAACTCATCCACGATCACTACTTCTACTCTTTGCTGTTATACTGGTCTCCCTCTCATTTACACACATGTATTCTGCCTTGTTTCTCCTGACCTTAATTTCTCGTTTCTTCAGTGCATATCTCCACCTCTGCAGGCTCTCTATCAACCTGCTCCACACTCTCACTACAGATCAGTGTCATCTGCAAACATCAAAGCCCACACAGATTCCTGCCTGACCTCATCTGTCAGCCTGTTCATCACCACTGCAAGCAAGAAGGGGCTCAGAGTGAATCCCTGATGTAACCCCACCACCATCTTGAACTCCCCCATCACTCCTACTGCACACCTCATCACTGTCTCACTCTCCTCATGCATTTCCTGCACCACCTCACACACATCTTTGCCACTCCTGACTTCCAGATGCAGTGTCACAGTTTCTCATTTTGCACCCCATCAATTTAGAGTCACCAGTTGGTCTAAAATGCATGCTTAATTCTGATTGTGCCCACACAGGAAGAGAGAGAACATACAAACTGCACACAGAAAGGTCCCAGCTTATAATCTCATCACCACCCAGGCTTACAAAGGTTTAGTTGTAACAGAAATATTTGTATATAACAGAAAAAGTTAAAAAACTGAAATTGTCTTCTGCTTGCTTTTTCTTCTGTTCTATTATTTCAGCTGGTCTTCTCACCTAACCTGTTATGTGCAGTGAAACAGGGCAGATTTGGGATGTGCCTCTGACGTTTTTTTTAACCATTAAAACTAAATAAAACTGGTATTTTAATGTGTTCTGTTTATTTCATCTGTTTCCGGTGGTGCAAATAGAGATGGCATGGAAAAATATGAAGCTTGCGGTTAGAAAGATCACCGGTTTAATTGGTCATTTTTGTTGTAGTTAAATAAAAAGCACAACGGACAGGAAAAACTGGAAAAAACTCAGAAGACTTGCTGTTTTTGTGCAAATTCTCACACAGACATAACTCACACGAAAGAGAGGTAAACACCAAACACGGGTGCTACCAGTGACATCATAGGCTCTATTCTACATTAGCTACAGAGCCTTAAGGTGATTAGGAACACTCTTTTTCTCTTTTTTTTACCATTTTGTGTCAACCTGGCTACTGTAATAGGTGCATTAGTCTTGTTGTACAACTGGACACGAGTGTATTAATCAATGAAAAGTACTCACTCAGCATCCTGATGGGGGAAGGCTTTCTCGCTGCACTGACAGCTGTCAGAAACCGAGCGTAATTCATGTTTCCTGTCAAATTACAAGGTGAAAAATATCAGCTGCCTCCCCTCACACAGCGGGGTTATCTGCCCATTAAGCTTACACCTCCTTCCACAGGCTTTCAGTGAAGCATTTACGCTGTTTCTGTAAGTTAATCTGTAACTGTAGCTCTTAACTGAGCCAGCGGTTATGGTAGAACCACCTAAACGGTCACAAAGGTTGCAAAACTCAC